AGTATCCTTAAGAACAGTTCTGGACCTTTCTGATGTTCCTCATAACCTATGAGGTAATTCATGGGTTGGCACATGGTAAACGCTCTCTACGAAGCTTAGTTTGAGGTACCCCAGTGACTGATTTATAGCACCTGGATTCCTGAGAAGGAATTGTCATAAATATTTGTGATAAAATCTTTACATAGACATATAATTAAATTTAGGCACTAAAATACTTATTTTGGGGAAAGTCAAGAAACACCTGTCTAGGAAATAGATAGATCTGCCAGCCTTGCTCCAGTCCAGGGCATCTCCACAGGTCGAGATGGATGGTGGCATAGATCGGGAGTCTCAGAAGTCCTCAAGTCTTTGAGTGCCCGACTGTGTCGCTGAGAGAGCCTGGCAGTTCCCCTAAAAGATCTGTGGATTCCCAGGCACCTTCTCAGTGCCAGGCGGGGCTTGTGAACTATCATCTTGAAACCAGCTTCTGCCGCTGCACTTCGAGTTCATGGCATGAGTGCTCTGAAGACAGTGGGGGAAAAACAGACAGTAGATGAAAATGTGTACTTTCGTTGCATTCTTGCCAAACAGGAAAATTGAGTTAGAGCAGCTGTTCAGAATGACTGACAGAAAGCAAATATGTTTGCTTTGGGTAAGGAAATGGAAATTTCAGACCATGAAATTTGGGGTCCAAGAGTCATTTCACAAAATGTGCTGTCATACACTTTTAGATGATTTCGTTAGTCTCTAAAAAATCCAAAGCAGTTTAAATAGCGACCACATTAAACAAAAGAATTCTGCCTGCTACCCCAACCTGGAAATATCTCCACTATTGAAATAGGCAAAACAGGGGAGAAAAAAAGTTATTTGGCATCGACAACCTTGGAATGAACCTCAGCTTTTTACCAGCTTTGTCACAGTGGATAAGGTTACTTCAATCCTTCTGTGAAATGGAGATAATCCTTAGTCTATCAGAAGGAGTTCTTAGAGTGGAGCAGGTTACGCAGAAGCCAGGAGCTGGGCCAGGCTCCCTCGTTCCCTCACTGCTTTGCACTTTCCTATGTTATCTTGTCATAACTTGATGGAGTCATTGGCGGTTTACTGGCCTGTCACCCCACTAGACTGCAAGCTCCGCAAAGGCAGAAGGCACTCATCTTTCCTTCCCCATGCTCAGTGGAATATCCACCACATGCTGGGTGCCCAGTAAGTGACAGTTAGACTAAAAGAATCTAGAAGGCTTGTGAAGGAGGTGGGCGGAAGGAGGAGGAGCCGGCTCAGTAATAGAGAATGGAGAAAAGGCCTTGCAAGCTGAGGGGCCAGCCTAAGCCAAAGCAAGCAGGAATGAGCTGCTTTTGCATATTTGGAGCAGGTCCTCTCAAGTATGGCAACAGAAGGTGAGCTAAGAGAAGATGAGATGTGACCACATGGTGAAGAATCCTGAATGCCACTTTAAAGATCCAGACTATGTAATGTGGGCCGTGGGAGCCACCTTGAGACTGTAAGGGAGCAATATCACTGTGACCCACCCCTAACCTGATATTTCTGGCCTTGTAAACCAAAACTTGAGTATCCTGGATTTTCTTCCTTGCTCTGCCAAGGAAGTCAGGATACAGAGAATTATCTGATGTCCATCTCAGAATAGGCATAAGACATCCTATGACAAGGAAAATCATTGCTTTATAAATAACAGCCCCTGAAGAAAATTTTAAGACAAGAAAGGGAAGCAAGAAAGAAAATGTAAGACTAGATACACAAAGAGTTATTAGATGCTGTAGAAAAGACTTTGCCTGACTTTAAAAGCAGTTCCATAACTTAGAGGATAATTATTTTACCTTTCTGAATCTTCTAGTCTTATTTTGCCGAGAATTTTTTAAAATTCTGATTTAAATCCTGATTTAAAATCTGATTTAAAATCCTGATTTAAAATCAGGAATGGAAATTAGGTTTTCTCAAATGCTTTTTATGTGTCATTTGAGATGATTGTATGGTTTTTCTTTTTTATTTTGTTAATATAGTGACTTATACTGATGGGTTTTAAAGTGTTAAACAAACCTTGCATTCCTCGGATAAACCTCACTTGGTCTTGCTGTAGACTAAAAACATATGAGATACTTAAAAACAAATCTGACAAAAGATGAGATGGGTCTGTGCACTGACATAATCAATAGGGAAGATGATGAGAGTCTGCAATAAGACAGGAAGTGGGGGCCGTGGAGAAGAGTGGGGGCCATGGAGAAGAGTGGCTGCATTTCAGAGGCTTCTCCTGGGTAACAGCAATGCTACTGGGTGACATGAATCAGTGTTGAGATGGGAGGTGAAATCACAAGACTGGCTGCAAGGTTTGGGTAGAGGGTGGCTCCTCACCCGAGATGGATTACGTAGGACAAAGGAGGAGCAGGATCCACGGGTTCTGATTATGTTGTCCAGACTTGCCAGAACTGCCCGTGAGGGTGGGAGTTACCCAGACTCTATCAGGGCTTCTGCGTGGGGATTCCTTTTACTTATCTGTATTCTTATCAATCTGTTTGAGTTGTTCTCTCTGATTTTTATTTTTTTAATTTTTTATTATTTTTGTGAGGAAGATCGGCCCTGAGCTAACATCTGCCAATCCTCCTCTTTTTGCTGAAAAAGACTGGCCCTGGGCTAACATCCATGCCTGTCTTCCTCTACTTTATATGGGATGCCGCCACAGCATGGCTTGCCAAGTGGTGTGTCTGTGTGCGCCCGGGATCCGAACCGGCGAACCCCGGGCTGCCGCAGCGGAGTGCACGCACTTAACTGCTTGCGCCACCAGGCCGGCCCCTCTCTCTGATTTTTAACTTATTACCTGTGTCACCTTGGGCAAGTTACTTAACCTCTCTGTGCCTATGTCTTCTCATCTATAAAATGGAAATAACAATAGTACCACCCTCATAGGATTGCTGTGAGATAAATGAATTGCTGTGGGTCATTGAGAACAGCACCTAGTATGTAGGAAGTGCTCAGTATTATTCTTGTTACTCTGAAATTCAATGGCAACTCTGGTCATACACACAAAACCTCATGCACTTGCCCCCCTCACTTCTGTCAGTAATTCCATTTTCGTTTTAAAACTCACAGAGGGAGCATTCCATTCTTACTCTGGTAGATGACTCTTGGCGTCCAGAGCCCTAGATGGGAGAGTGCTACAGAAGTGTTGCATCTAATACCAATGGCTAGTCTCTCTAAGCCACGCAGCTAAGAACACTGATTTTCATCTCACTGGAAGTTAGCTTAAAAGTGAAAATATAACTGAAATTTGGAATTTATCGTGGAAACAATACAATACAGAACATAAGAACTGAGACATATGAGTGTTTTGGCGTGCTCTGAGAGCAGTCACAAACCAGCTCTGACATTTCCAAGCTCCCAGAAGAGCAATGGAGAGAGGTACCCTCTTTGAACCTCGTTCAAATTGCCTTTTCCCCTGGGGAGCTGTTAGCAGCTAAGGTTGTGGTAATTTGTGATGCAGAAGGAGAAAATTAATCCAGCCAGCCTAGATGCTTCACATGAAACGTACTCTACGTCTTGCCAACAACCTGCAATCTTGAGATGTCTCCATTTGGAATGGGGACACTGAGGCTCACAGCAGAAGCTTTGTAACAGTTAATACAGCTAATAATGGCATCTTCGTGGTCCAAACCCAGGCTTGTCTGAGTCCAAAGTCTTTCCCACAGTATTGGAACCTCCCGCGTTCTTCCCTCGGTGCCATCTCCGCTCCGCTGTAGCTCTGGTAGTGTTGTGTTACGGTAGTTGTATATATTCTGTCCCTCCCACTGGACACAGAACACTGATGTAGACACTATTTTATCTGTACCTGCGTTGCTGCTGTCCTAGGGTAATGCGTGCCTTCTCCATGCCAGCCTATCATCTCTTCCCATCGCTGGCTGCTGTCCTTTCTCGCATTCTTCCCTTTTGATAAGCTCTTGAGTGGGAGTCAAATGCAATGTGTAAAAATGTCACCAGCATCAAAATGACTCAAAGTATGACTGTATTTTCACATTAAATATCAAGACCTGTCATTTGACAAAATCTATAAATGACGATGAGGTACAGTGTTTGAAATTAGAACTGTTTGGGGAACCAGATATTCTGCAACAGTATACACAGTAGGCATTGAACAAGTGAATGATTTCTGGAAGAGTGGAAAATAAAATTTGTCAAGTATCAATTGAGTGTTAAGAAAAAAACTCAATGGAGGCATCCTTAGAAGAATCCAGGAGCGGTTTAGTTTTACCTCAAGCCAGATTGGTATCAGCAGTGTTTAGCTAGGAACTAGGGGACAGGAACCCTTCCCTCAAGAAACTTAATCTGTGGAAGTACATAGGGCCCTAATATTAATAAAATTTCAAAAAATAAATATGCTGGAGCTATATAAATAAGTATCGAGTATCCCCATTGTAAACATTACATTGCAGTCTCCGGGATCCATGCTGAAGTTCAGAGGAGGTGCGCTGGTGCTCAGTGGGCCGAAAGACACAGCCTGCAGGGTTATGCTTGGCCCTGCCGGTGCTTTAAGAATATTTTGCGTTTGGATGCTTCAGAGAGGGTGTGCGCTTCCCAATCCACCACAGCCCACCTGTCCCTGTGCCTCACGGGTCTTCCCGCCCCTCTGGTTCTGAAGGTGTGAGAGCTTGTGACCCTGTATGCGGCATTCCAACTGTAGGGAGGTCTCCAAGAATATGATGTTTATTTGTATCTCATCCTATTAGAAAAGGACCTTTTTATTTCAGAATCGTTTTGAATTTACAGCAAAGCTGCAAAGACAGGAGAGAGATCCTGCATACCCCTCACCAGTTGTCGTTAACCTCTTGTGTTAGCACCGCACATTTGTTGCCCCCAGAAACCCATCGGTGTATCTATAATTATTAACTAGACTCGCTTCATCATTCAGATTCCACTAGTTTACCCACCACTGTCCTTTTCCTGTTCCGGGATCCTGTGCAGGAGACCAGGTGAAATTCCGTCTTCAGGTCTCCTCTAGTTTGTGACTCTTTCTCAGTCTTTCCTTGTTTTTCATGACCTTGACAGTTGTGAGGAGTACTGGTCAGATGTTTTGTAGACTGTCCTTCACTTTGGGTTTCTCTGATGTTCTTCTAGTGAGAGAGTTGACGTGTCCTCCTCATCGCACCGTATCACTGATGTTGACTGTGATCACCTGGCCGGGGTGGTGGTTGCCAGAATAGAGTTTCATACTCGATTCTCTGGAAGCAAGTCACCAAGTGCAGCCCCGGCTCTCTGGCCAGGGTGGAGGGGAAGGGAGAGTGGGAATAGACTCCACCTTCTGTTGGGGGAGTGTCTATAGGGATTATTTGGAATTCTTCTGGCAGGAGGATTTGCCCTGGCGTGGCATTGCCCTCAGCCGACAGCCAGGAAATGGATGTGTGTGTACTCACCCATGTGTCTACACCTATCTGTAATTAGTGTTTATCCATCTGTTGCATTCACATCTGTTTAAGTTAAACATGAGTTCACACTGATGTCTGACTTGATCCAGTCCTACCAAGTTCCTTCTGGCTATCCTTTCTTGTTTATCTGGAACTTCCCTCTCCAATAGCGAGAAACCTGGTCCCACCATCCACTTACTTATTAGTTCGACCCAGTATACATGTAAAGCAGTTTCAGAATTGTTCATCTGAACCCCGTGAGAAACAGCATTACCAACTCGAGTGCAGAGTTTCTGTGCGGTTCCTTCCGTCTGTAGCCCTACAGCTTCCAGTAAAAACATTGTCTTCCAAAGTTACTGTCTCCTCTTTTTGAATATTTATTTTTGCATGTTTTAAAGTGTACATGTGTATAATTTAAATAGACATGCATATTGAAGATGCATTCTGAAAAGTTTTTTAACTCATAGGGGTGTGTAATAAATTTAAGCTCTATGGATAGACTATGGTACAGATATAAGGCAAAAATATTTACCTTTGACTTTGGGATGAATTATATTTATTGATGTAGTTTTGCCTTATTAATTTATTGATTTGAACAGACATTTATTGGAAGCGGCATGATACAGTGGAAATAACAAGGGTTCTAGGGGTTAGATAGATCTAGTTTCAAATTCCAGCTTGGTCATCTACTAACTGTGTGATATCAGGCAAGTTACTTAACCTCTCTGTGCAATTTTTTCCACCTGTAACGTTGGTTAATGTGTATCTCACAGGATTGTTGTATAGATTGGAATATATATCTGGAATACTCTGCACTCTGGCTATTCAAAGTATGCACCACCAGTTAACAGCATCAGCGTCCCCTGGGAGCCTGTTGGAAACAGACTCTCAGGCCCCACCCCAGACCTCCTGAAATTGGAATCTGCATGTTCACAATATTCCCAGGCGAAACTGAGGTTTGAGAAATTGTGAACCAAACAACCCTCGAGCCCCCCTGATTCTTCTTCATTCTTATAGTGTTGCAGGCCTTGGCTCTACTGGCATCTCCTCCGGGAAGCCCTCACTCACCCCTTGCCATGCGCCTTCTGTTGCAGCATTTAGCCTGCTGTGCCCTCTGTCCTCACATCATATCCTCCATTTCTAGCATGGTGTCTGGCACATTGAAGGTGCTCAATAGACATTAGCCGAATATAAGAATGTTCTTGGTTCTATGCCAAGTTCTGAGAATACAAGAGGAGGGAATGGTCCCTGCCGTTCAGGAACTCTGCCCCGGAGGGGAGGCTGACTTGAAGTGGACAGCGGTGTTGCAGGGTCATGTGCTCGATGCTGTGAATGTCCGGAGAAGGGAAGCGGAGCCACTTTCCCTACATGGGTGTTGGCTTCTGCGAGTCTTGAAGACCAGCCAGCCAATACACTCAGCCTCCGTCTCACTTCACTGCACAGGCGTCTCAAGGAAAACTGCTGTTCTCTTGTTTCTTGAACACTCATCTTGGATGCACTGGCAGGTGCAGACCGGCTCATTTCAGGGGCCCTGTAAGTTCAGGGAAAGACTCTTCCTGAGCCTGGGACCGCTTCCTCTGCCTTGTCTTTAGCCTGTGCTTCCTCCCCCATGACAAATCTTGATTTTTTCCCCTTTTGTTCGATGTTCTTTTGTTTTATGTTCTATGATCTTGAAGAGATATAGCTTTTTAAGAAAGCAACACGAAACTCATTAAATGAAATATCCCTAACGGTTGGATTATAGCCTGAGTGTCATTACATGTCTGATGAGGAAAGAGGAAATTAAAACCCTGGAGAGTCCTTGATACCCGGGCGGACAGGCCCTGAAACGACTACATACAGTGTGAAGAGAAAAACCCACCCCAGGCTCGGATCCAGGTTCTGTTCCCCAATTCCCGTGTCTTTGGGAAAGTCACTGGGCTGCTCTGGGCCTCAGGTTTCTCATCTGCAAAGTGGGAGAGTAATGCCTCCTCTACTTTCTTTACTGGCCTTTTGAGAGGGTTCACTCTGATAGTCCCAGGGTTAGAATGATGCGTTAAACTGGGGTTAGAATTTGTGGCTCCAGGTAAGCGCTGGAGGCAGGACTGGATGCTGTGTTTCTCTTTTGCAAAATGATAAAACAGTAGCTTCCACATACTGGGAACCAGCTTTATCTCGGGCACTGTGCTAGGGACTTTGTATACGTTACCGGTAATTCTCGGCACAACCCGGAAAGGTAAGTATTACCATCCTTGTTCACAGCGAGGGTTTGTCCAGCCTTGCACTTTGAGGGTGGCTTGGCTGCCTGACCTCACAGCATGTGGTCTGCCTCCCTGGGCCCAGTCTCAGACCTTCAGATGGACGTTCCAGCAGTAGTCACAGTTATCAAGCAAAGCGTTTTTTTTCCCTGAAGGTACAGAGATTCCTTCTGCTCTTATGGAGCTTTGTGGAAAAGTCTCCTTTTCTCTTCTCTTTTGGCTCAAATTTGAACTCATTAAATTTGCCAGTGATCTAAAAAATAAACAGTTCTGTCCTAGATGTTTTAAGTTCAACTTTGCCGATTTCTATTCAACTGACTCAGGTTGACTTGACAATGTCTACAACATGGAGCTGCTCCCTATTCTGAAGGCAGGTCACTCCTTTTGTGTTAAATTTGTGTTCATGCTTTTTAAGCTGAGATCTTCAAGAACCTATGCCTTAGCTCTTAGTGTGTAATTTAAATTGATTCCTGTGGGGAAAATAACCAAGATCTCCATTAGAAAGTCGCTTTGGAACACATTTTAGATTGTTGAGCCAGGGATTTAAAATATTGTTTCTTTAGAAACTTTCCTCCAAGGAACTCAAGAATGGAGGTTTGTGTAGCAGAGGCATTTGAAACTTGTCTTTCCTCAGCAGAATTCTGGGTTTTACCTCTGTTAGATTTAAACAGCCATTCCTTAGAAGTTTGGGAAAAATACTTAATAAATAGTGGCTACTAGTTATTATTATCAGTAAAAATGGTTAATAATAGTTATCTTTGTGACAAGCATTCCACTTGACACGTAGCATATTATTTCTAGTACTGAAAGTGAACCTAGTTGGAGTAGGTTTTGCAGGTGCTGAAGTTGAGTTCCACATAAAGTTGCTTTAACTTTCTGGAACCCCTTTCTGAGGCTTGACCTTCATTGCCTGGATCTAGGTTTGCAAATTATAGCCCATTCAAGGAACCTGTGTGGAAGGCTGGTGTTAGAAATGAGCACAGCTGATTTAGATTCTCCTGATTCGCTACAGCTCTAAGAAGTGAATATTTATAACGAAGAGAAGGGATATCTTATTTCTCAAATGCCTGCTTTGTGCCAAGCAATATCCATGATCTCACTTAATCCTCATGTCAGTCCTGAATGTAGACCCTTACCTCCCTTCAGGGAGGTGGAGGCCCAGGAAGTAAGTGATTTCTCAGTGTTGTGGAGGTGGGAAGCGCTAGAGAGGAGATTGAGACTGTTGGGGAAGAGGGATAATCCCCCTCCACCCTTTCCCTTAAGGTTCTTATGGCTGGCCAAATAATTAAAAGACAGGTTAGCAGGAGAAAATAATACCAAGTTTAATAACATGTATACGTGGGAGAAAGCAGGGAAACTGAGTTTCTCAGCAAATGGCAGAGGTTTTCATCTTAAATACAATCTTCAGCTAAAGACAAAGGAGGATGTTGGGGGTGGGGGGAGTCAGTTATGGGAGATTACCAGAAAAGCATGGTACACAAGAGTAAGGTTATTATGTAGATTTAAGGCCTCACCTTCCACATTGATAAGTGTCCAGAGATGAGGTCATCCCCCCTCTTCCTAGTACAGAGAGGGAGATACCTTTACAAATGGAGATTTCCCTTATAAATGTAATTGTTTGTCTGGCAACTCTTTTCAGGGCCACCTAGAGAATGTGGCCTGGGAGAGACAGAATTTTTGATAAGATGGGTTTGTTGGTGCCTTTCCTATTGTAACATCTATTTTACGTTATACTATAGCCATCATATGATAGTGGCTCCTTCCTGAAACAGGTCTTCTATGTTAAATTGTTTAGGCAGTTTGGGGGAGGTCAAATCTCCGTCAGAGAAAATAATCAAGGTAAAGAGACATATTTCAAGGTGGCCAATTTTGATCTCCCACAAGACTCAGTTCTTCCTCTCGGCCTGTGCTCCTTCTGCTGTACTTTGGGGTGTGAGCCCAGTGCCATCTGCCTTTCCACGGGCAGCACAGTATTGTTGGAGGGAGTATGGGACTAGGAAAGATCTTTTGCCCTAATGGTAGACCTAGGTTCGCATTCAGGGGTCCACCACTGTCTGTCACCCATGGGCAATTTACTGAGCTTCTGTGAGCCCTCAGTTCCTTTATTTGTAAAATGGGAATAATATGAGCCTCAGAGAGTTCTTGTGAGAATAGAAAAATGCATGAAAGCATCTGGCACATAGGAGGCCCTCCATAAAAATTGCTTTCCCTTCTCTGCTAGTGATCAAAGCCTAAACTAATGCATCTGTGCCTTGGTGGGGCAGGTGCTGAGCATTTTAGAGGATACTGTGACCTCCCGCTCCCTCAGCCCCCTCCCCCAATTCTCTGCTCTCAGCCAATTTGCCTCTCTAAGATTGCCAGTTCTACTTATCTGAGGACAGGGATTTGCAGGGGACGTGACTCTAGTATTGAGAGTGAACTTGAGGACCCCATTGTTGGAGAGCCCCTCAAGCGTGCAGCATCCGAGATGGCATTCTGTGTCTACATGAAACACACTGCAGTGCCCTGAGGTTTTGCTTTCCCCTCTGTGAATCTCTCTTCTTATGTATCTGAACTTCTTTCTTCAGTGAAGTCTGGGCAACAGAACTGAGTAAGTCCTTGAATTGGCTGAGAGTGTTTCTTTGATAATTTGCTATTTGAGAAGCAGATTTTCTAGAGTGAGGAAGAGGGGAAAGAAATGACAGATAAGAGGCCAGCAGGTTTTCTTCTGTGAAGCTTTGTGCCGCTCTCTCTCTGCGACATTCCTTTGTGTAGCAAGGTGAGCACTTTTTCTCAAAAGAGACAGATCTGGTTCACTCCTGGCTCTGCCTCTGTGTGCACTGGGTACTTAGACCTGGTCTCTCGGGACCAGTTAATAATACCTGCTTGGAATTCCAGTTGGCCCTCATCCCAGTGCTTAGCTGCTCCCTATGGAATTTTAGTACGGTATTCTCCTCTGGTTTCTGACCAGAGCTTCTGGTACAGTGAACCGCAGACAATTATTACCTTTGATTTCTCTGTCTTCTCAGTTCAGCTCACCAAGTCTTTATGGAAGTGCTTGTGCTTCAAAACTGACTCTAGAGTGTGGTGACGCCCACGATAGACAGGGAGGTGTAGAGACCGTGCGTCTGCCCTCCAGAACCTGGCTGCTGTTCCAGGGCTGGTGCACTTGAAGTGTTACTGAGGAGGAGGAGTTTGTGTGGGGCGAAAGGGAAGATGAAACTAGAGGGAGCTGGGAACCAGATGGCTCATGCTAGGAGCTGCAAATGCAAAGGAAAAGGTTTTGGAGTTTGTTCCTTTATTTGTGCTTATTATTATTTTTCCTTATCGCAAAAGTAGTGAATGCTCCTTATAAGAAAGATCTGGAGAATTAAGAAAAATGTAAAGGAGAAGAGCAAAATATTCCTGATAGTCTCACTACCCAGAACTGAGTGCGATGGTCATTTTGGTGTTTTTCCCTATGCATTTTTTTATATAGGTGAGATCATACCTTATGGACAATTCAGTCTTCTGCCCATTCCACTAAAATTCTATCATAAGCCTTTCCTCACTGCATGAAAGACCCTTTGCGAGCATATTTTTAAGTCACAGCCCCATACGACTACACCATGATTTATAACATGGCTCCGCTTGTTCGATGCTTGGCTTGCTAGTTTTTCACAATGATAACACTTTGATGAGAGGAGCTAATCTATGAAACAGTGAGCTGGCAGAACTTTGTAAGCAGGGAGTTCTGTATCAGATCTTACTTCCAGGGCCGTCCTTCTTGTGGCAGTGTGGAGGCCAGACTGGCAGGAGGAGTTATTGGAGGCAGCAGGAACACTGTTCATTCCTTTCAGCTTTCCTTTAGCAATTATATGGCAGACATGTGTCAGGCCATTTAGGAAGCTGTTGAAAAAGCCCAGGGATAAATGATTCAAGTTTGCAAAAGGCAGTTTTAGTGAGAGTAGAGAGGAGGGGATTAATGTTAGGAGTATTTGGTTGAAAACCAGTATTTGTGTATGGGGTGGGTTCTGGAAGCAGTTGGAGTGTTATTTGGCCACGTAGCAGAAGGTGACGCCTTGGGATAGTGACAGTGGGAGGAGGGCAGTTTCAGAGGGTATTTGGGAAGTTAGTTATGGGGCTGCCTGTTGCACATCCAGGTGGATGTGCTGTATCAAAGAAGTAAATTTCAGCTAGAATTCTTGAGGGAGGTTCAGGCTGGTGACATCCATCCGGATAGTGGCTGAACTGTGTGTGATTCTTTGGAAAGAATAGAAAAGTAAAGAGGGGCAAAGGTGGATCCCTGGGGAGCATCACTGTTTAAGGGCAGTCAGGAAAGTGAATGGAGACTCGAAGGATAAACACACACTTTTCCAGGATTACAAGAGGTAAAGGGCATTCCAGGCTGGGGTGCTGCCTGTGCAGGGCAGAGGGTGGGAAAGGGGAGGGCCATGTTCAAAAGCAGCAGCAGGTCAGTGTGGTCTGGAGAGCTGCCGGCAGGGCCAGAGTGGAGCTGGGGGCCAGTTTGGAAGGTTTTCAGGGAGAGGGATCCAGCAGAGGTATAGATATCAGATGTGCACATAAATGCCTATCTTAGAGAACACAGAATACTAAGTTCCTTAGAGCAGTGCTGGGAAGTGGTGTGTTTTGAGTTCAGAGGAGGGAGAGGTTACTTATTTCTGAGAGTCTGAGGGCAGCAGTTGGAGGATCAGGAAAGATGCATTGATTCATGGGTTTCTATTCATGTTTTCCTGTATTTATTCAGTTCTGTTTGTGCATTGATTTTATTATATATGTATTATCTGTATGTTTTGTATACCTGCAGATATCAGTGATTGTTTAAAATTTAAATTCACTGAAGGTAATGACAATGCCATTTGTTTTTGCTAGGAAAATTCCCAGTCTGTCCCCACCCCTCAACTAACCTACTAAAGAATATTCTAGTCTTGCTCACCCATTCATCTTCTCCTCCCATGATCTCTGAGGACAGGCCCTGTTTTTCTTGGCTGCTCCTGGACCTCTTGGGGGAACAGGTCAGGGTAATGAGAAGAGCAACGGAAGCCTAGCGAGTGTGCAGGTTTGGGGAGAGCATGGTCCTCTAAGGAGACAAGAATGGGTGGGAGGGAGGGGGAGGCCGGGGCAGGAGCTGGTGTGGGGGTCTTGCTGTTGGCTCCCAAGCCCTCGTGGGAGTGAAAGAAAATGGGCTTGTAGAGAAAGGATTTAGGGTTATGCAGGATTTAGGGAAAGCTCATCAACGTTCTTCAGGGGGACTCGAGTGAAGACCTGGATTCTTCTCAATGATGTGGTGGTTGGCCTTTGCTCCAGGGAGTGTAGCCCTGAGCTGAATCTGGGCCACCTGGGACCCCTGCGTCAGTGAAACTACAGCTTCTTAGTAGAATATTGTGCAGAGATAAGTACCAAATGAATATTTTTGATAAATATCATGATTACTTTCACTAGAATAATAATCAACATTTATCTTTGATATGTTTTTCTTTTTTCATTGACTTTCAACAATACTTTTATTGATTTGTCTGATTCAAAAAACAAGGGGAAAATTTCAAATGTTGGTTTAATGCTTAGTGTTAAACATAATTATTAAGAAGATTTGATGGTTGTGTACCTTAGAGCAAATCTTTTGCCATCCGTAAATTCTCACTTGTGTTGTCAGGATCTGATCATTTTAGAATTCCCTTTTTTCCACCTGCTTCAATTAATTAAGAATTATGAAGAGATACAGAAAAGTTTATAATGAAGTATATGATCAAGAAGAAAAGGATAATTGCTTATATTATAAACAGTAATGTTAAATGCGATTACTGAGGCCATTTAGTAACTTTTTTTAATAAAGAAAACAGAATTAGTTCTAAAATAGGAACAATAACAGTTTATAAAAATCATAAAGTGACTATTGTGGTTATAGAAATTCTTTAATAGATTTCTTTAAATTTGTTTTGTAAATTGTTTAAATTTAGTTTGAGAAAATGTTTTACTTTGAACTTTGTGTAGTGATTTATACTTTTCACAAGCCTTTGATATCTTTTGTATTATTTGACCTTCACAATAGATTTGTGATGAGAGCCTTTGGGTATCAATATCCCAACTTTGTGGAAAGAGCCTGGAGCTCAGCGGGTTCTTGCCTCTGGCAGGCTCTGCAGCCCCGTCTTGCTTCCCTTCTCTTTCTGATAGGTAGTTCCCACCTCGGTGCTTGGGTCAGGCCTTGAATCTTTCTCTCTTGGATTCCACAATGGTGTCCTAACTGCTTCCCTTGCCTATAGTTTCTCTCTGCTCTAAAGCTACTTGAGCAACTTCCTAAAACATAAATTTGTTTGCATCACTCCCCACTTGAAATCCTTCCTTACTGTGGCACGCACAGCACTCCACAGTGTGGTCCCTGCCTCTCCCCCTCCCCAGGTGGGTTCCTTACTGTGGTACACACAGCACTCCACAGTGTGGTCCCCAAGTCCCCACCAGGTGGAGACTGCTCCTGGCCCTCAGTGTCTACTTCCTTTCTTCTCTACTCACCAACCTGCTTCTAGCTGGGCACAGGCTGCTGGTGAAGACCCCTTGTTGAAGCCTCCATTGCTGCTGGGTATGGGCATGGGCTGAGTTCTGGACAAGGAAATGTCTGGAATGCAGGCGATGTGAACAGAACTCTTTGTCTCCTTCCTCCTCCCCCAAGTCTTGCTCTCTCACGGTTGGGCCACACCCTGGCGATGGCAGAGCAGCAAGGCAGGGATCTGTGTCCACAGCTCTCAGAGCTGCCATGTTAGCCTTGAAGTGCTCAGCCTGGGCTGTTAAGGGAGAGAGAAATACAGTTCCACCATCTTTGTCACTGGCATTTTGGGGGTGGTGTAGCACCCAAACCCGTGTCCTAACCAGTACAGCTGCCTGGCCTCCTGTGGCTTTCAGTTTATGCTCCACACCTACAGACCTGCTGTAACTCGGAGGCCGCACCCTGTGGTTGCTCTCCTCTGTGCACTTGTGGACACGTCCATCACAACATTCACTCCGCTGTTGTATAACTAACTGTGTGCAGGCACCCACTGGACTCCGAGCTCCTTGAGGGCAGGAAGGCATCTTGTTCTTGTTTGTCTCCTTAGTGCCGAGTGGTGGTGTTCAGCGCGTGCCTGTTGGATGATGCACACGTCCTCCACAGTGCCTGGTGCGCAGGAGGCACTCGGGATGTGTTTTGTTCTATGCTGGTAGAAAACTACCAATTCTACAGCAGAACTGATAGCTGAATTTGAGAATATAGTGGGATTATAGCTATAATCTTGCTGTTAACTATAAAATATCTTATGGAAAGAGTACTCTCCTGTCTGGAAATGGTGTAATGAGTTTAAAAATTAAAAATTCTTTAATTTTTATTCATTAATTCTATGCAAACCTAAGATTTGGTGTTGGAGGGCAGGACAGAGGTTGCTTTGGGGGAAGAGAAGGCAGGGCGCCTGAGCGCAGGCAGGAGGGGGCCATGGAGTGCGGGCCCCGTGGAGTGCGGGTCCCGTGGAGTGCGGGCCGGGTTCTCTTTTTCAAGCTGAGTGCTGGGTTTACAGATGTATACTTTCTGATAATTCATTGAATTTACCTTTATATTGGGTGTGCTTCTCTGTATATGTGTTTTCTTTCAGTTATTGAGATATAATTGACATATAACATTACATTAGTTTAAGGTGTACAATATAATGATTGATAGATGTGTGTATATATTGTGAAATGATCACCACAACAGATCTAGTTAACAAACGTCACCTCACATGGTTACACACTTTTTTTTCTTGAGATGAGAACTTTTAAGATCTACTCTGTTAGTGACTTTCAAATATACAATACAGTATTGTTAACTGTAGTCACCATGCTGTACATTACATCTTCAGAACTTACTTGTCTTATAACTGGAAGTTTGTACCTTTGATCACCTTCACCCATTTCCCCCACCCTGACCCCTCACCTCTGGCAACCACCAATCTGATCTGTTTCTATGAGTTTGGTTTTTTTGATTCCACATGTAAGTGAGATCATACAGTATTTGTAAGACATATTTCACTTAGCATAATGCCATCAAGGTCCACCCATGTTGTTGCAAATGACAAGATTTCCTTCTTTTTTATGGCTGAATACTATTCCATTGTGTCTGCTTGTATAACATTTTTAAAATCCATTCATCCATGGATAGACACTTAGGTTGTTTCCTTATCTTGGCTATTGTGAATAATGCTGCGAGAAACATGGGGGTGCAGATATCTCTTCAAGATAGTGATTTCATTTCCTTCAGATGTATACCCAGAAGTGGAATAGCTGGATCGTATGGTAGTTCTATTTTTAATTTCTTGAGGAACCTCCATCCTGTTTTCCATAGTGGCTGTACCAACTTATATTCCCACCAGCAAGATTGTAACAAGGGTTCCCTTTTCTCCACATCCTCAACAGCACTTGTTATCTTTTGTCTTTTTGATGATAACCATTCTTTAACAGGTGTGAAGTGATATCTCATTGTGGTTTTGATTTGCATTTCCTTGATGATTAGTGGTGTTGAGCACCTTTCATGTACCTGGTGGCCATTTGTATGTCTTTTTTGGAAAAATGTCTATTTAGTTCCTCTGCCCATTTTTCACTCAGATTGTTTGTTTTTTTGCTATTGAGTTGTATGAGTTCTTTATATATTTTGGATATTAACCCCTTATCTGATAGATGATTTGCAAATATTTTCTCCCATTCCATAGGTTGCGTTTTCATTTTTTTGCTTGTTTCTTTTGCTGTGCAGAAGATTTTTAGTTTGATGTAGTCCCACTTGTTTATTTTTGCTTTTGTTGCCTTTGCTTTTGGTGTTATATTCAGAAAAATCATTTCTAAGACCCACGTCAAGTAGCTTACTGCTTATATGTTCTTCTAGGAGTTTTATGGTTTCAGGTCTTACATTCAAGTCTTTAATCCATTTTAAGTTAATTTTTTGAATAGTGTAAGATGGGGTCCAGTTTCATTCTTTTCCATGTGGCTGTCCAGTTTTCCCAACACCGTTTATTGAAGGGACTGTTCTTTCCCCATTGTATATTCTCGGCTCCTTTGTTGTAAATTAATTTGCCATAGGTGCATGGTTTATTTCTGGGCTCTCTAGTCTGTTCCATTGATCTATGTGTCTGTTTTTATGCCAATACCATACTCTCTTGATTACTATGGCTTTTGAATATAGTTTGAAATCAGGAAGTGTGATTCTTGTTCTTTCTCAAGATTACTTTGGGTATTTGGAGTCTTTTGTGGTTCCATAAAATTTTAGGATTGTTTTGTATATGTGTTTTTACCGCATAAGAATAATATTTAAGAGGTAGCTCATTTTAGTTATTTTTAATTATAGAAGTGGTTTGAAAATGAGCACTGCCTCTAGCAATTAGATAACCAGTGTCAACTTTTGGGGAATTTTCTTCCAGTCCTTTTTCTCCTGTATATTGCTTTTTAAAGAGCAGTATAGCACTTATAAATTAGAAACAGAGCCTCATAGCATGTCTTGGGTAAATTAAACTGTTATATACCTCAAGAGAGGGAAATCTCTTAGGTGTCACTTGAGGTCTTATCAAATATGTCCACTTTGCTGTGCTGGTTCCCTAGCATCCTGCTTTCTTACAAGCTGTGGCAATGCTGCCATCCGGACCCACCACTGCTGAGGGGACGATCTTGTTGGCCAGTTCTCCAGACCTGGTCAGGAGCCAGAAGGGTCAGGCCCTCTCACAGGGGAGAGAAAGCTATTGCTCAAACACAGCCGATCTCAATTTATTATTGTCAAAAGCTTATGACTGCTTACCAGCTAATATTCTTTGGACCCTTCTCAATTCAGACATGAACTCGCAGAGTTGCTGCATATAATGATAAGTAATACAGATGAAATTCTGTACTTGGTAGTTTTTAATATTGTTCATCTTTTTCCTAGATTGGTTCCTTTGATGATGTCATTAGACTGTAGTTCCTCCTTTTCCACATGTTGAGTAAATTGTGTCAGGTTCTGGGGATGTAGAGACAAGTTTTGTTACACTTTATCACATGCACACCTGCCAGCAGCTCTCCCTGCTCCTCACTATGTTGTGAGCACTTCTAGGCTGGGCTCATCTCTTTCATTTCATTCTCTTCCACTGCCCAGCATAGTGAATAAGTGAAGACATGATCCTTTTCCTAGAGGAAATTATGGCTTACTGGTCGAGAAAGCCAGAACTGGGAAAAAAAATATGTCAAATTCCATGGCATCTCTTTCCTATCACAGTTTTGTGTGAGAAATGAGTGATGTGATGTATATGGAAGCTTCTGGTTTATACTGGAAGGTAATATTAAGGTAATTATAGCAACACAGACAAAGGTTCTAGGAGGGAGAGATTACTGGATCCTGTTCATTGGAAAGGCTACACTGGGAAGCTGAGGGTTGAGCCGTGGTATGAAGGGTGTGTAGAGGTTCATCAGGCAAAGCAGAGGGCAACAGCATGACACATGGTGCAGGTGGTTGAAAGTTTAGGTGTGCATGATGGTGTGTGTGGCTGAGAATGTGGAGCAGGGCCAGGTTAAGAAGGCCTTGAATGCCAACAGGGTGCGTTTTTAGAATTTGAAATTTCTTGAAGTTGGCTCTCAGGATTTCATAGTCAAAAGGGACAAGGATTTGTTCTGCCAGCTCCTGATATTCTTTATTGGAGAACGAAATGGAAGGGCCCTGAGCAGGAGGTTGAGAATACGTTTAATAAGATGACGCTTTTCAATGGATAAATGTGCACTGAATCTGTTAAAAATTAGTATGAAAGTAGAGCTGTGCAGTTCAAGAATTAGCAGACATTAGTGTATCAGTAGTAAAACTTTTTCCTGTCTATTGAATAATAGCTTGGGGGAAGCAGCCATTCTCAGAAATATTTGTAAAACTGAATTTAAGGTAGTGGGCAGTTATTTTTGGAAGCCAATCTTCCTAAGCCATATTTCTTTTGATTTAGCTAAATATGTGGAAAATAGATTAATAGGCCAAGTTCTTAGGGAAAGACAGTTTTCTGAAACACTTGCCTGCTTCAACCCAGAGACTACAATTTAATGAATTTTTGATGTATGTATGCGCTAGAAACCTAGACAGTAAGATTTCCAGATACAAGAAAAAGAAGAAATTCAAAATCTGAGTGATTAATGGAAACTCAAGCCAAAGTGCCCCCTTGTGATAGGCTTTACCAATCACCACTGGGCTTCTGATGCCGATGTGGAGAAGACGGTTCGGGGCTGCAGGCCTCTGGTGCTGAGTCAGAAGGCTTCCCTGAAATTGGACCAGCAGAGTCTGCCTCCAAATTAGGGGAGTGGCACAGAAGCATGCCACGGCCCAGCAGCATGGGTGTGCTAAGGGTTAGCCATAGGAAATCAGCACTTCACTCAAACCTGCAGGGAGCAACCAAGTCAGATATAAAACTGCTTGGTGGAGACACTTCCCTGGACACAGACACGTGAACTTTCCACATGAAATAATTTCCGCAGAGGATGAGCACACAGTCAGAGACTACAAACTACACAGGAGACAGACTGCATGAAGGGGAATTTACAGGTGCAACAAATGGGAGAATCTGACCTAGAAATTATAGAACAAACTGAAAGAGACTTTTAATTAATCCTGTTTGATATGGTCAGAACTGTATTGGAAGAAATAAAACCACAAGTATGAAACAAAAGCAGGCAGATTTGAAAAAGAACAGATGGAAATTATAAAAGTTCTAAAATAAAAAATATGGCTACTGAATTAAAAAAAATTAAAAACATACAGTAGATGGTTTAAAGAAGAGACTGGATGCAACTGAAGACTGAAGAGAGAATAAGTGAATTGGAAGATAGATCTAAGGAACCTCCCAGAATGTGTCACAGTAAGACAGGTGGAAAATATGGAAGAGTAGTTAAGAGGGTAGACTAAGGTCTCCAAAATATGTCTGATAGGAGTTCCAGGAATAGAGAACAGGAAACAGTCTTGGAGAGAAAAATATTCAGGGATAGTGAGTGAGAGTTAGCTTAAGAAATACATGAGCCCTTAAATTTAACAAGTATGTCAAGTTTTGAGTTTTCAAGTTTAATGAGAATGATAAATCCTCAGATCCAAGAAGCTTAACAAACCCTAATCAGGATAAACACGAAGAAAATCACATCATAATCAAACTGCTGAAAGCTGGTTGTATTGAGAAAAATCTTTAAAGCAGTCAGAGAAAAAAGCACACATTACATGGGAACAAAGATGATAATGATTGTAGACATCTCGTCAGAAAAAATTCAGCTAGAAGAGGTGGAATTTTATCTTTTACTTGGCAAAAGAAAACAACTGTTATCCTGAAATTCTATATCCAGCAAAAATATCCTTAAAAAATGAAGATGAAATAAAGACTTAGAGACAAACAAATGTTGAGAAAATTAATCTCTATCAGACTTGCTCTGCAAGAGTCCTTAAAGTAGGTTATTAAGGCAGAAGAGATTGATGCCTCAGGTCTTGAAACA